AATACACCATTAATGATACCAGATGTTGTAAATGCTGAAGCAAGTCCTTTCTCAGTGATTGATTATTCGAGATCAGATTTATAGACACCAGGAACATTAGCAAATGAAATGTATGGAGGAGCCAATCCTTTTCATTTGGTAAATTCTTGTTTGAAAAATGACTCACATGATGAAAGTGATTTACCTCCTCTTCCATCAAAAGTACCACCAGTAAATACAGAAATTGGTCAGAAGTATTCTGCATAAAAAACCAGGAGCGGGTGAAAAGTCAGGACTATCCAAAGACTAGACTTATAGACTTTATAAATGTTTGGACTTTAATTCAGTTTTTTTATGTTTTTCCATTAAGTTTTTCTTTAATATTTCTAATAGTTTGTTTCCCAACAACTTAAGGTGGGAGGATGTTGGATTTCAAAACAATGTAGTTTGTATTTTGTATTTAATTCCTTTAATTTTATACTTATAATTTTACAATACTTAGTACTTTTACTTTTTGGCCACTAATAATTGTTGTTAGTTTGTTTTCTTGGAAGTGGCAGCAAGGCAATTCATAGAATTTGAAAAATATGTTTCTGTAGTTAGTTAGGCTTATTAAAGATTAATTGTATGTTATATGCCTGAGTGATGTTTTATTAAATAAATGAATACTTTAGAATATAGTAATCTCTTTAGAGTCCTTGATACGCTGGTAGTGTAATAGTTTGACGCATAAGCGAACAGCTTTCTCCCTGTGGAATACTCAGCGCACACTTGCCGTTCTACATGTGGATAAAAGCTTCTGTGTCTGCTTCCTCTGGTGTACATAGAACTTATAAATGTCCGCATCCACTGAGTGAAGGAGCTATGGAATTTTGCTTAGGTGATTTTCCGCCCATTGGCTCGGAGATTGAGCTGCGGATGGATGATAGCGCGCCGCGGTTAATCTTACGAATTCTGGAGTCCCCTTACAAGCTGAGCTTAAATTGTGCTGGAGCTCACCGGAGCCCGGCTCCGGTATTTCTTAGTTTTAGGGATAAATCATAATTCTAGCCGGAGCCCTAATTCAGAAGGCTCCGGCGCTTCTTTTTTGTAACTAAACAGCAATTTCAGTAGAAATTTGATCTCGAAAATTTTATTTTTTGCAATAAAATCATATTACAAATCGCTTATTAAATTTTAATTTATCTCTTTACATTTAATTTAATTATTTAATTATGTTATCTTTAATTATTTAACTATTTTAACAATATTAATTAATTTTATTTAATCAAATAATAATCATTAATTAAATAATTGACAAATGCTAATTATTAAAATTAAATAATAATTACTTTCGTAATAATTAACTATTTAATTTTTAAATTATAAATGACTTTAATACAGTCAAAAGTCCTTAATTCGGATACCCATAATCCGGAATGATCTATAATCCGGACCTGAAAGCTAAAAACGTTCTGCGCATGCGCCGGGTTGACACATGCACATAGGCGTTTACGCGTGCACGTAAGACCTTTACGACTGCGCATATGCGTCTGCGCAAGCGCAGAATACGTTTTCGCGTGCGCATTTTATGTATAACGGAGGGTATAAGCTAAAATTATCTAATTATCTATTTCAGTTAATGTTGATGATTGCATTGTTCCTTAATCTTCGAATTGGATCCGGCTTATTATTTTTTGCAGACTGTAAGAGCAATTTTCTAAAAGTAAACTTAAACTTTCGATTATGTCAAATAGAATTTCCGATGCTGGAGCTCCCAAAGAATCTACAAAATGACAGTATGTTTCGATGTCCATCAAACAAAAAGTGGAATTGCTGCAAAAAATGGATAAAGACATGAAAAAGGTGACAGAAAGGTTAGTGAAAACGAAAAAAGTTCGATTGACAAGTTAGTTGGTATTCTCGACACAGCAATTACGGGACTTGAACAGCGGAACTTTGTAGCTGAACAAGAAATTATGTCTGTTTATAGAATTAAAGAGAAAGTATTATCATATAAAACGAAGCAACTTAAACAACTTACATTGAAAGAAATGTTTAATAAAGTAAACAAATAAATATTAAGCTTTTTTTTTTTTTTTTTTTTTTTTTGTAAATTTTGATACTCTTTAGATCATAATTGTTCTTTATTTCATAAATTACGGTTTCATATTTTTAATTTTAGAATTTCTGCATGCCATCTTACGAGATTTAAACTGATGATCTATAATCCGGAAAAATCGATAATCCGGAATCGCCGAAGTCCCGACGAGTCCGGATTAACGCTTTTTGATTGTAGTCGTTTTATTTATTTATTTATTTTTGTTCCTCTTTGTTTACGGTCTTCCATAGAGATTCGGCACTTCTAATTTTAGAAATTAAGCCCTGTTTACAAGAGGACCTTGTGATCATGTATCAAAATTACATTGATCAAATAGAAAACTTGGCTGCTGAATGTGCTGAACTGGAAGGTTCTATTAAAACAGCAAAAAAGCAAGAAGTGCCTGGACTACCAATCCCAATTATTGATGGATTACTTGGAAAAACCAAGGTTTATCTAGAGCACAACATGGGGTGTTTCCTAAGGCTAAGCGTAAAACTATTAATAATGTTAACAAAACTTGTAAAAACTGATGACGATGAATTTGTTCTCCCTACGAAAACTGCAAAACACCTTCGGCGTGAAAGCGCCCAAAATGTCTTGATGTATCGAACAAGTTTAGTGTGTTAAATGTTGAAAATGTTAATGCTAACGATCGATAAGTAAATGATACTGTTAGTAATATTACGAATAATATTGATATTAAATGTAAACCAGACCGAAAAGTTTTGCAACAATAGGCTCAGCCCCAAGTACCAAATATTCCACCCATTATGGTTAAGCCAACTGATAACTGTAACTGGACAGATTATTTATGAGCATTATCGCAAACCGCTGAAGTCAAATTTTAGGAAGATTAAATGGTGAATTCATTAAAATTCTTCCCAGTACTAATGAAGATCATAGGAAACACTCAAATTTTTACTAAGAAAGGTTTTGAGCATTATCTCATAAATCCTAAAGTTCTTTCAAGAGGGTTTGCCTCTCATACCACCACTGAAAAAATTGCTATAGCCCTAGCCAATAGGGGTTTCGCCATTCATAGTTGACGAAGAGAAAAACTAGAGCTCCGATGCCGCTATTCTTGGTACAAATCTTGCCCGTAGATGCTGACCAAATATATGAATTGAAAGACCTAATGCTCTTTGTTCAAGTAGAAAAATACATTTTCAAAAACAAAGTGCCACAATGCCATAATTATCAGTTGTGGCACCATTCATCTGAAAATTGCAGGTTAAACCCAAGGCGTGTAAAGTGTTCTGATGAACAAAGGACTCAGGACTGCCCATATGGCAAGCTGGATAGGCCAATGTGTTACAACTGCGGAGAAACACCCCACCCAGCCTCCTACAGGGGATGTTCTAAATTCCCCATGAATAACTGTAAAAGATCACAGACAAAATCTGGACTCAACTACTCACAAGCACTATTTGGTAAAACACCTAACCTGCAGCCGAGTCAAACTACCAGAACTCCTAAATAAAATATGCCTGCTGCCGCTGTATTGGAGGCAATTTATCTGAATTAATTAGTTTAATTAAAACCACTAGTTCTGTAAACAATTCTAAACCTACTCAAAATGATGCTGGAAGAAGTGTTCACAATGATAATATCAATAACAGATCCAACTCTGTATTATTAGATATAAAGAATGTAATGACTGGATTCCAATCTGCCTTAAGGTAGAATAAACTTAAAATTATTTTTAATCTTTTCAAAAATATACTTATGTACTTAAGCAATGTGTATCTTAATTGATAAATTTCATGTTTTCCTACAAATGTCTGCTGATTATATGGCTATGCGTAATAATTCAATATGTATGAGCCAACAAGGTTAGTAACATGGAATGCAAATGTTTTATCCCAAAAAATTAAGGAACTCAGGGATTTTATGGATGAGTACAGCCCTGGTGTTTTGCTTCTTCAAGAACATTATATGCTTGGCCCAGACAACACTGTCAGAATTAGCAGCTACAACGTTTATCACTTCGATAGACACAGAAGTCATATCATCTCAGGAGGAGTCTTAATTTTAATTAAGCGATCCATTCCCCATTATCATACTCCAATACCAGAGCTTTTAGCCATAGAAGGCATAGCTCTTACAGTCATCCTGCGCACTTCACATCCAGTCACGTTAGTCTCCATCCATTTACCCTCACATAAGCCACTTAAGAGATATTGAATAGGATATTCAGACAATATCTTCATTTAATAATCATATACTCCTTAACATAATCTTTAATTAAACCTATCGGACTAAACTCACCATTGCAGCTCTCCCAATATATAGCTGCTATAGCCAACCCGCTATAACAACAGGACGGCTAATGTTATCGACTTTTCCCTAATCAGGAATATCGATTATACAACCTATATTGCAAGTGAACATGAGTTCTTATCTGACCGTAATCCAGTTATTATGGATACTGCAATCAGTCACTATACCACACCAGTCAAAATAGTCCTTATAAGTATAGACATGGTGAAAAGTTTTCGTGCAATGTTACCTTCACAAAGCAGCTGGAAATTACAGCTTAAGTATTTTCAGTGACAATAACATCTCTTGCTTTAAATATATTTTAAAATGTAAATAAAATCAAACTTTGAGTGAAATGGAGGCCCAGTGAGTCTCATGTGAAGTTTAGTGCTGTTAAGACACAAAGAAAATAACTGAAAATTACCCCTAAAGATAGTTACATGATGTTTTTAACGAAGGAAACTCATCTACAACTTTCCTTTCTCTTCAATCACTTTTTACTTATGCCGTACACTAATTCATACAGATAGAGTAAAATTAAATTAAATTTTCATTTGTTTTATCTGTTTAGTATCAAACTTACCATCCTTCTTCTATATTTAATGATTTCCATTGGTTTCGCATTATGAATTTGTGCATAAAGTACTGCTGTCAAGTTTAAATAATCAATCATCTGTGGTCCAGGAATGGATTAATCTATTTTACATTAATAATACAAAGAAAATAATTTTGGTTTACAAACACTGATGAGAAGACAAGTGGCTTTCAGGAAAGAATTACATTAATGAACCATGGTTTCACTGTATACTTAAATAAAGTAATAAAATCCTAAATTCAAATGCCCATATTTAAAATAAAATTGTTATTTGCAAACAAATATATACAAGGTTAATTCATATTTTTCTGTTAAAGTCCTACTGTTTAACACTTTTTTTGCTTATTTCTTTGGCCTAAGGGTCACAAATTTGGTTTAACTTCTTTTGTGGGCGTATTCTCCTTTACTAAAATGGGATTTCATAACTCATGAGGTTATCACGATTTTTCAAAAAGAAAGACCATGTTTGAATAATTACCTTATGAAATTAAAATGAATAAGACTTGAAGCTGAAATGGTTATGTAGTCTTCGCTCACATCGAGACGAAAAAGATATCCAAACTCAACATGGTTCAACAATCATTCCTAAGAAAACAATTAAAACTGCAATTTAAAATAGAATAAAACAAATTAAAAATACTTAATGCTTTTTTTAATTTGTTCAGTTCAGGATCATTTAAAGGGGGAAAAATAATCATCAGTTAAAACTTCTGAATACCTGTCTAAGCAAATATGTGGAAATGTATTTCAATATTTTCATGATAATATTAAAGAAACCACAATAGCAAGACTACCACATAGTGTTAGTTAATCGCCCAGCATTATTAATACATATTTAAAAAATAAAACAAGTAAATTTTAATTTTGATATTTTTAAAATTTTTTATCATATATTTTGATATAAGTACTCTAAAAATGTACTAACTATGGATCTTATTAAATACTGATGCAAAGGGTTCCTTAACACCACCTCTACTTATCACATCTAAATATATACACTTATATTTAGTTTCAGCTGTTTAAGATAAAGAAAATTTATCATAATCATTTCTTTCTTCATAAATTATCTAGTTTAATTTAGTGCATTATATAAAAAAAAATTCAAACAATGAACCCAAAAATCCACTATGTATATTGAAATTTGCTGTTCATTTACTGATACATTTATGTTCAAGTCATTTAGAATGTCATTATAAAATAATAATCACAGGTTGCTGACTTTATTACATATGTTAATTATCATGCAGGCATTTAATTGGCATATTACCCAACATGTTTGGATATAGTCCTAATACATTTTTCACTCAGATTTTTTTTTTTTTTTTGCACTTTAAAATGTCATGTGTAGTTTTACAAAATTTACTTCTTGATATGAAATAATATAAAGCAAATCGAGATACCAAACAACTGGTTTGAAATTCGCCTGCCAATACACACAGTCACAGTATTTACATTTGATACAAAATGCATAGTTCGGATATCATGCATTTCATGTTGTCTATGAAAGCAAAAAAATGTTTCTTCACTTAAAACATTCAGAATGTGGTTTTAATTTCCTATTCTGCCATACTTCCTACAAAATATAGCTCTCTAAAATTAAAACATTGAACTGAAAAACCGTTTAGGTTACATATTAATATCTCTTTTCATGTTGCTGACACTACCACTCATTTACTGACGAGGATCAGGATATGCATTACATCCCTTCACGTTCATCAATAATAGCATCTTCTTTCACATCTTTGCAAAAACATTTTTTTAAATGGTTCTTTTTTGACTTGGAATAAAATTTCTGAAGAATATTTTAAATCACAACTGCTTTCTTTTGTTACCTTATAAAAACTGATGAACACAAACTTCTTTCTTAAAAATTTTGGATTTCCAATTTGGCACATAACAATGATCAGACATCAGCAGCATAAAATACTAATGTAGCCACATGGTTATTTGTAAAAATGACCACTGCCAATATGGGATAATGGTTGTTTGTAAGTATACAGTGTCTGTGTAGCAAGGTCGCATTCAAAATACACATGGAGAAGGCGTGGATAAGTACTTAAAGCGACAAAATGAAAAATGCTATACATGCAATGTTTGAACTGCGTATAAAATGCTGTGAAAGGTTAAATTCAATGCAAAGAACTCAAATGATTTTAAAATGGGTAAAATACAAGGAGTGGACAGTCCTCAGCATCTGAATGAAATAATCCTAGCAAATTTTCAGTCATTTGATTATATACAGTGGAAAGGCAAATGTTGCTTTAATTTAGCCTCTTTGAATTACTTATAACTCATTTTGCATATGTAAAGCCTTTCTTTATGAAAGCAAATAAATAATTTATTAAATATTTATCACAAATAACATGTTCATACCTCAAATAATACAAAATTTTCTGCTGCATGGTCAGATCCTTACTTGCATGGATTGAAGAATATTTGGCTTAAGTGCAGAATCGCCCACTTATTTGTTTGGCGCTTTTTACAAGAGTAAGAAGAATTGGATTTTTGTCAATTTTCTTTGACTTTTTAAGTGAAAATAGGTCGATGTGTACATGGATAACGAGCATGTGAAATTCTGAAAAACGTGCCAAGCAGTGGACGATTCTGCACTTTCACTGAATATTCTTATTAATTTAACTTTTCCTCCAAAACATTTGAAGCTTTAGGCTTATTTTCTATGTATTATGCATGTGTTCTCAAATTATTTGTTCATACATATGATTTATTAACAATTTTCTACTCAAGGTTCCTCTCCACTATGAAGAAGCATATGCACATTTAGACTACTCTTTTGAGTAAATGATCTGTTGCATATCTTACACGTATGAGGTTTCTCCCCTGTATGAACAAGCATATGCACATTTAAACTACCTTTTAGACTAAATGATTTATTACATACCTCACATGCATGAGGTTTCTCTCCTGTATGAGTTAACATGTGTTTATTCAAACTACACTTCTGACGAAACAGCTTGTTACATAGGTCACACCTATGAGGTTTTTCTTCTGTGTGAAGAAGCATATGCTTGTTTAAATAACCCTTCTGTCTAAATGATGTGTTACATACTTCGCACAGATGAGATTTCTTTTTGGTATGAATAAGCATGTGGCTTTTTACACTACTCTTTTGTCTAAATGACCTGTTACACACCTCACACGTATGAGGTTTCTCGCCTGTATGAATAAGCATATGTACATTTAAACTACCCTTCTGACTAAATGATTTGTTACATACCTCACACACAAAAGGTTTTTCTCCAGTATGAATAAGCAAATGCATGTATAAATCACCCTTTTGATTAAATGACTTTTCACACACCTCGCACACATGAGGTTTCTCCCCAGTATGAATAAGCATATGCTTGTTTAAAACACATTTGAGTCTAAATGATTTGTTACATACCTCACATATATGAGATTTCTCTTCTGGATGGATATACATGTGCTCCATTAAAACATCCTTTTTTTTTCAAATGAGTTATTTTGTACCTAACTCACATAATGTTTCTATCTTGTGTGAATATGGAGCACATCATTAAAAATTAATTTGTTATACTTCACACAGATATGATTTCTTTCTTGAGTACATGCTTAATATGAATGCATGGCGGTGCTTAAATATGAATTTTATCATTTACAAGATATTTCTGGTTTACGCCAATGCACTCCAAACTCACTTCCAGAATGCATTAAGGGATGTAAACATATGTCTTGTTTTGCTTGCGCTAAGTCGTTCTGCCCGCAAGGCGAAAAATTAAGCTTAAGTGGAAAATAAAAGCAACCAGCTAGACCTCTTCTGTTTGACGAAGTTAAATATCTAGGAGTCATTCTTAATAAAAAATTGACTTTTCAGAAACATCTCAGGAAAACACCAAGCAACATAAAGCACTAGCAATACTGACTTTGCTTCTGAACTTCGTTTTTATTGCTACAATTGTTGAAAACGCTCTTTCACACAAATAAGTGTTTAAAAACGGAAAATACTGTTATAGTGCTTGATCTGCTATACTGGGATAGACCCTGAGATATGTTACCCAAAGTAATGGTTTATCCATCTTCTCAAAGTCATATTTGGCCGCAGAATCTTTCTTAATTTCCACAGCTTCCTCTTGTAGTATTTCCGGTAGCACATCTGTGTCAAGTAAAAAGCATCCGTCACCATTCTAAAAATATTTTTATCAAACGAGTTATGGAAATAAGGCTTGAATTTATCAGTGAAGTGCTGCAAATGATTTTAAATTATACTTTTAGTATCAGTATCATTAAAAACCTCCTTAAAACGCCCTTCTTCCAGGATTACAAATAATTTGGGAAAGCGGAAATAATTGCAGGCTTACGTTCCTAGAGTTGAAACTTATCAGTCTACGCTGTGATGGCATTCCGATGATAAATTATGCTGTAATATCCACTTTGGAATTTAAAGTTCAGTGAAGTCAAAGAATCGAAAATATCTGATAGATAAGCCAATACGACTTGCATACTTGGCTTTCGAAAGTCCACATTAAATATAGTTTGCTTTTGAACTTCCAAAAACTGAATAAATTGATCTTAAAGTTCAAATAATCTTGCCAGTATATTTCCTTTTGGAAGCCAGCGTGCTTTCGTATGAAGTAAAAGTATTTTATGTTCTGTTCCCCAAATCTTCAGAAAGGGCTGTAAGAAGTCGAGTACTAAAGCACTCTTTTTTAACTTGACTAACAATTGCATAATTTTAAGACGACGTTGAATTCGTTTAGAAGTGCCTTACCTAAATATTATGGTGTATAACTCAGCTTATGGTGGCTTATGGTGTATAACTCAGCGATTAGCTGTAACATCGGAATATTTTCATCTGACCATCTGTACGAAACCTGAACGAGATCCAAGCACTGACGGAGCGCCGTCTGTGCGTACGCGTATCAGCTTTTGCCGCCCGGACAGTTCATATTTACAAAAGAATTCATAAACTGCTGCCATTATATGAATTGTTTTGAAGCAGTCATTAACAATGTTACAGCTAATCGCTGAGACAAACACCATAAGCCTTGGTTGGTAAGGCACTTCTAAAGGAATTCAACGTCGTCTCATACGAAGCTTCGAGCACTTCAAGCTATAGTAAACAGCATTTCGTCTTTAATTGTTTCCTTTTGTATGAACCGAACGAAAACTAAAAGTTGATATTTTGCAACTTCTGCACCCTCATCCAATTGTATCACGAAAAAATTTGATTCTTTCACAGCCTAACTCTTTTTTATGCCTTTATCCTTATCATCAATGCGATGTTAACAGTGTTGTCAGAAAGTGGTATTTGTGAAAGCTTTTATTTACTTTACGGTGGAAGAACAATATTAGCTGCTGTCAAAAGCAAGGTTTTGACGAGTGTTTCTCCGATGACATAACTTTTCTTGGTCTTTGCGACGAGTAGGGATATCTCATACGAAGCTCGAACACTTTTTCAGATGACTGAGCAAAGGATCCAATATTATCCAATTTCAGATTTGCAAATTGGGCGGCAAAAAATTCCTTCGGCTTGTCATTTAATGCGCTGTTTTGTCGACCAATGTCCCTCCAGACGAGAAGGTCTAATAGCATCATTGCTCAATACTTGGTAACAAATAACGCATTTCAGCTGGTCAAAACCATAGTTTTCCTTCCTTGTACGAAGTAAAGAGGAAGTAATGTAGTCGCGAAAAGTTTCAAGCAGCATATTTCAACGAAAATATCCATTTTGACCGCTTTCGAATGCAATTCAACGATGTTTTTGCGTAATATCTGTACGTAAACCAGAATAAAATACTCTTTTCCTCCAAAAAAAATATAAAACTAATTTAAAATGAATTCTGAAGAGAATTTTTCGTCGCGTCTGTACGAAGGTATGTACGTACGTAGCTCGCATAACTCAAAAACGAGTAGCTTCAGAAAGTTGAAATTTTGTATATAGGACTACTATAACATGTAGATGTGCACCTCGTATTTTGGTTGCAATCGGCCGCGCCAAACATATATAAATATATATATCTACTCTGTTACCCGGCTCAGTGATCTCAGTTTCATTACTCTTATATGTTTGTAAATTGTACATTTTTTGCTTTAAAAATGATTGAATTATGTTGTTCTTATCTTCCGGTTAAGGTTTTTATGCCTTTAGTAAATCTGTATGCAATATTTTTAGAATTATCAACAATTTTAAAGTTGTTTAAGTGCCGCTAAGCCTAATAATTTTTTTGATGGCGGTAATTGCTTGTTTACAGTTCAAACAGCAGAGTAGTGAATTTGTTGCCAATCTAGAGAAACGTAGCTTCGCAACAACAAAGATAACGCCTTCATTTATTATTGCGAAATAAATCATGCTTAATCCTTTCTGGAATTTTTTCGAGGAAATAAGTGTTTAAGATTTACTTCGTAGTTTTTAATACAGATATTTTGAGTTTTTGTGTATTTTTGCCTTGTCGCGAAGTGAGAACTGATTTAATTGAAAGAGAAATACTCAATCGTCTGTGAAAAACTGTTTCTTTTTTGTTTTGTTTTCTTAATTTCTTTTATACATCGTTTTAGCTTTATTATAGTATTTGAATAGAACATGTGGCAACGATTAGATAATTCTTTAAATGATATAAATTTTGTGCATTCTGAGTTATAATATGAACGAAATATAATACTGTTAAGTGAACCTAGAGCCAGAGTGTCGCTATGATAAACAAATAGAGTGAATTTTAAAGAATGCATTTATTCTATTGTGGTTTATGCGCTGTCGGCGAAGTAGATTAAATTAAATCCAATAAGTTTAAACGAAATGCAAGACAAAATGCGTATAATTTAATATTCCGTACAAAGAAGTCATGTGGTGTACACATCAGATTTTTTTCTCTATAGCAACAAAACCGTATTTAAAATCATCAATGTATTTGTGTTTTTTCACCGAACTGATGACGAGGTAAAAAATAACTGAACAACTTGACAGTTACTAATTCAGAAGTCATAGGAACTTGACAGTTCATTTTTGCATTAAAAATACACAATACTTATGTATCCCGAACTCACACGGAACAGTATGACAGAAGTTTGAACTCTTGAAGACCTCCGACGCCGGCTCGACCACTATTTTGCGCATGCGCAAAAAGAAGTAAGGGTGAATTTGCTTCGACAGCTATTCGCCGGTTTGCATACGTGAAAGAGTATTGCGGCTGGAGGGATAACTCCTGTAAAGTAAACTTATTTCCCTCTGCGATCTGACGCAGCCACTGCTTTGTCAAAGCTTTCGTTCTTAACAAACGCATTCTTTGGCCCAACTAAGACCCAAATGCAGGGCGGTCGGGTGATACGGGTGGTGCGGTGGTCACCAGCGGCGAAGTACTGTTCATCTGACTCGGTACCCTCTTTAGATGCCGTCGCATCTCTCTTGGGGTAGGCGCTCCCCCCTTTGAAAATCAATGTTCTAGATATTTTAAATCAGAAACTACATAATTTCCTTTATAAGATCTTAATCTTAAAGAACGGAAATCTACAGACATAAAGTACTATCTGGATAATCTTGTCTTAAACCTGCATCTACAGCAAATTTAGAGGCACCTACAAACACACGACAGGCGGCATGTGAATTAGTTGATGTTAAAATGAATTCGAGAATTAAAGAATCCCTTAAATTTTTAAAAATCTGTTTATCTTTCAATTATTCATCTATATGAAGCACCTTTTTACGCAGATGTGTTAAAGCGGTTTTATTTTCGCATAATTTTGAGTAAGTTTATGATATATTTTAAGGCTTCTATGGAATATTTTTGTAGTTCTTTAATATTTTAGGGGCTGCAATTTTTTAATAACGTCAGTATTTGCAATTATAGTTTCATGTTTTCCAAACTGATTTATATCATAGGAAAACTATCATTTCTTTAGCAAAGGGACATTTTAAATACTTTAGTGTTATATTTACTTTTTCACGTGCATCAAATATGATTTTAAGATGTTCTAAATGTTTTTTAAAATTTTGGGAGAATACTATGATGTCATCAAAATAATTCAAAGCAAACTGAATTTGATATTAATTTAAAATTTGTCTGCGGGTTCTTTGAAAAAATATCTGGGAAGTTTTTCAACGAAAAGATGATCTATTGAATTTATAAAAACTAATTGTTTGTTGTTGTTGGAAATTCTAATTTTTCCATAATTTGAGGAAACAATTTTATCCATGTGTTACGAATTTGGTATTAAAAAGCTAATGTTAGTTCAATTATAAATTAAATGGTTTTATCTTCCGCGTAGTGCAGCGCGTGACGAATATTAAAAGAAAGCTAAGCCGGAAAATTGAAAATATAAGAGCGCGTGCATTAAACATTTAATAAATATCTCTTTTTGATTTCGAGAAAGTACTAGAAAATTCTCGCACGAGATTTTAAAATCTTATAAAAAGGAGGAAAACCTCTCAGTTTAGGTAGCAAAATAGGAGGAAAACCTCTCAATTCAATCAGTTGTCGTTATACTGGGAGTTCTAAACGTACGCTGTTGTCAAAAATTTTTGTGTCTATAAATAAGTCATTGATTTGAGAAACCGAAAAACAAAAATGTCCTTTTATAGAACACCACTCGATAGTTCTGATGAAGAGGACTACCGAAGCGAGCGTTAGTCTAAAACCAACAAGACCTATCCATTGAAGAAAGAGGATTTCATCCTTATGGCCAAAGAAAAGAAAAGTAAAGCGAAAAAGACGAAAACTATGTCAGATACGGAAAG